CTTATAACAACACCCAGAAACTTAAAACTGGCCACCCGCTCCACTCCGTCTCCATTGATAACCAGGGGCTGGACATCTAACCTATTCCTCCTATTGTCCACTTTAAGCTCCTTGGTCTTATTGATATTAAGAGCCAAATTATTGTCTCCGCACCACGAAAGCAGCCAGTCCACCTCATCCTGGTAGTATGTATGTATGTGTGTGTGTGTGTGTGTGTATATATGTAATACATTTTTATATACACGTATGTATGTGCATGCATGCGTGCGCGTGTGCACACACACACACACACACATATGCGCGTTTACATGACTTATTTGAAATATAGGATATTTCTTTTTAGGCAAGCACTAAAAACGTCAATGAAGTGCAAAACAAATCTATTTTGTCAGAACCTCAGATGTGACCTTTCAAACATTACAAAAAGTAATATTTTTGTACTAAATTACTAAACTTCCTAACAGACATTTAGCTGTATTAGGCAGAATCATGGATTATGTTGTGTTCTGCCCATTACTTCTGAATGTTGGTAACTGGTAGAAAACAAGCCATGAATTTGCTAAAAGCCATAGTTACTTTGCATCTTTGATGTAATCACTGTGTTTAAGAAGCCATGGTTTAGTCAGCCATGGGGAACAGCTTTATTTGGATATGTTATGCAAGTTGGGATTTGTTCAACCATGTTTTCTTAAACAAATCAGAATAAGTCTTTGCAGATGAGCAAAGAAATAACAGTTTTCCTTTATTTCTTCTCCTGGTAGTCAGTTGGTATTAAAGTGTCTTTGTTAACTATAAAAGACAGTTTTGCTAGTCTTTGTGAATCTTTTCTCTTTATGGTATAATGTGTTAATGGGGATTTTGTGAGTTGAGCCTTTTTTATGCGGAAAAGTGTTTATGCTAGTATTATTTTTTTTTGCCACTCTGATTTAGTGTGTGATATCCTTCTGGTAATGGGGTAGGAGTGTTGCTGTGTTTGTGTTGGGATTGTTTTTTGAAAAGTAAAGTCTCATTTTTCTTTATGGAGGTGTGGATGTGAAGATTTTTGTAGGATGTATACTTTGTCTTTTATCTTTCTATGCAACTCTGCATTTTTATTTAAACATATTTTTTTAAAAACCTTTTCAGTATTATTAACCAATGTAAGAATATGTCTAAAGGCAAATATACAGTTGCTTTACAGAAACAAACTATAAAGAAACAAAACAACTTTGTTAATTTTTCAGCTTATGTTATTTCCTACTTTTAATCCAAAGAAGTACATCAAATTTCCAGTGTTTTGCTATAGCAAGTCCGGCACCTAAGAGCAAAAATGTACATAAGAAATTAGGTTTTACCATTATCTTGAGAAAAATGGGCAATAAAGCAGTAAAGCTACACTAGCATTAGTTATTAAATACTGTTTTGTAATTTCTCCAATTTCCTCAAAAAGTTGTCACTGGAGATGATAAACATGTAGCAAATGGATTTCATATGTACTGTCCTGATTACAACTTTGCCAACATAATATTTGATTAACATAATGCAGTTTTAAGTAGGGATAAAGTTAGAGATATGGATTTTCTGGAAAATGTTGAATCGGAAAATTTTAATTTGAAAAATTTTCTTATTGAAATGAGTACGATTTAAATTAGCCCATTCATCTAAGTTTTCATAATCTGCAAAAGTATTTGAGCTATATTATTTGATGTAAAATATTAAGATTAGCTTATTTAATGAGGTTTGAATGTTACATTCCAAGAAATGAAAAGCTTTAATATGTGAAGAAAAAATATTTTTAATTGGAATGTCGGAAACAAGGTTGGGCAGCAGGCAATAAAATAAAATGCAATAAACTCACCTGAAGCGGAAAGTCATCCTGCTCGCATCTCTCTTGACAATAGCACTATCTGTGAAATTTTAATACATTCTTGATGACTTTTTGAAATAGTTTTAAAAGGATTTTTAGTTTGTGAGACACTTATTTGTGAGTGTCCTTGTAAGGTGCCAGCTGGGTCTGTGTGTTTGTTAGGGTTTTAGTTTACTGTGGGTGTGTATTAAGGAGTCAATTGTAGATTTTAAATAAGATGTGGGTCTTTACATTCCCTTCCACAAAATAGTTTTTTTGTTCTTTATGTGGGTGGAGAATATAGGTAGTCCTCGACTTATGACCACAATTGGGACCAGAACTTCTGTCACTAAGTGACGTAGTCATTAAGTGGGTCAGCCTGATTTTATGACCTTTCGTTAAGTGAATCATCACAGTTGTTAAGCAAATCATGTGGTTGTTAAGCGAATCCGGCTTCCCCCATTGATTTTGGTTGTCAGAAGCCCCCTGAGAAGGTCGCAAATGGTGATCATGTGAACATGGGATGCTATAACTGTTGTAAATACATGCCAGTTGCCAAGCGACCCAATTTTTATCACATGACCAAGGGGATGCTGTGATGGTCGTAACTGCAAGGACCAGTTGTAAGCCACTTTTTTCAGCTCCGTTGTAACTTTGAATAGTCGCTAAATGAATGGTTGTAAGTTGAGGACTACCTGTATGTGATTTGACATAGGAAGTCATATTGCCATTCCTTTTGATAACTATTTTATGTTCAAGAAGAAATTCAGCACTGAAGGAAAACAACTGAACATAGTTAAATGAAGATGCCTAGCAAGTATTTAAAAATAGCTGCTGTATTCTCTGCAGGTTGCTTATTTGTAATGGGTTTATTTCATCATTTGCTTTTTTTCTGCTTTATTTTCTAGATCCAATTTTCCTTCCTAATTAAGTTGAATACATTTGAAAAAGAATCTGGGAAATCTTCTGTAGAAATATGTTTTTAATCAGGTGGTCCAGTGTTCTTTTACTTTGTTGAAAAGTAGCAGAGGGATATGAAACAACTTTTCTACTATCTTATAGGCTAAGATGGGGTTTCGAGAAGGTGAAGGTCTTGGCAAATATGGCCAGGGAAGGCAAGAGATTGTGGAGGCCTCACAACAGAAAGGAAGACGTGGATTGGGGCTCACATTGAAAGGATTTGATGGAGAGGTGAACATCAACTGGCAAGATGAGCCAGAGGTAACTACGTACACTTTAAATTGCCTTTTGGTACCCAATTTCCTATTGTGAGGAGTTCTGATGGATCTATTTCTTTGTGCTATTGGCTCAAGTAAGGTTCATTTTAAAAAATCCTCATTTGAGAGTTTACTGTCTGGAATCAGATGCTGATCTATTCTTGGGTTGCTGGATCAGTAGAATGTTTTGATGCCTATAATTATAGTAAGAAATTACTCTGATTCTCTCCAGGCATTCTAGTAAAAATTGGATTGAGTTTGGTTTTCTGATCTATGGGTATACACTGAGCTAGATTTGCTATAGTATATGGCTCTCTTTTGAAATCTCCTTTTTCTTGTGTACAGGCTAGTGCTTATGAGCAAGTGGACTGGTGCCCAGAATGTACCACAGAAATTCCAGATGCTGAAGAAATGAAGGATTGGATGATGATAGGAAAGGTATTTAGATTGCACAGCAAGGAAATCATCATCATCAAATCTTTATTAGTAATGTGTACAACGTACAGCTCCAAAAAATAATCAAAACAAAAATATAAAGAGATCTACAAATCAGAAGTAATAAGGAAGGTCTAAAAGAGAGAAAACATGTTCATATATTATGAAGATAGTTAAGCAGGGACTGCAAAATTACTAGAACTCTTAAAATGCACAGATGCTAAAATATTTATGTTCTGGTTCAATGATTATTTTTTTTAAACTACTGAAAAGATAAGAGATAAAATAAATGTAATTGAATTGCTGAAAACAATAGCCCTGGGAATAAATGAGTAATAGATAGATGGATAGTTTTTATTAATTTTGGTCAATGACCAGTATAGCATCAATGTAAATTTCTTTACTTTCATTGACTATTGATTAGATAAACAAAGGAAAGAAAATTAAATGCTGAATTGGTTAAGAGTGAAAGGTGCTGGTTAAATTCAGAGAGGTGGCCAAGTATGCTAAAAAGATACTTCAGGTGGAAAATCATAGTAATAGTCTTAAACTACATCAAATCAGTCAAATTTTTATTAAATGTAATTGAAACTATAAAAGCATATTAAAATAATAAATTAAATAACTTTAAATATAATTAGAATATCTTGATCTTTTTAGCCTTTTATTACAATTACTTATGAGATCTAAACTTCACATTTTAGTATGTGATTTTAATGAAATCCTATTTAAATGAATTTCCACTGAGGTTTTTTTTTTCCACATTTTAATTCTCTTCTTTCAGGGTGGTATATATGGTTCC